AATTTTTTTCATATGGAAACATTAAAAAGGATTATTTTTAAAATTTGTTTGTTTCCAATTTAGGGTACAGGGTGACTTTCAAGCAGTTTTCCAGCTATTGCCACCCACAAGGTGGAAAATTTCTAAAAGGGTGAAAAATAGGTGGCATTTAGTGGAAACTAAATTTGCCACTATCTGGTGGCAAAAATGGTGGAAAAGTGTCTAAATTCTCCACCAATTTTCCACCCTTATGGTGGCAAAAGGTGGAAATAAGTGGCATTTGGTGGAAAATAAGTTTGCCACTCAATAGTGGCATAATGGTGGAAATTTGTCTAAATACTCCACCAATTTTCCACCATTATGGTGGCAATAAGTGGAAACAAGTGGCATCTAGTGGAAAATGAGTTTGCCACCCTAAGGTGGCATAATGGTGGCATTATGGTGAAAGTTTGTCTAAATACTCCACCAATTTTCCACTCATTGGTGGCATTTAGTGTAAAAAAGGTGGAATTAACTGGAAAATTATATAACATCAGTCCTGCTCAAATTTTTCGCCATTTTCATGATTTGGGTGGCGTTTTGGTGGCGTTTTGGTGGCATTATTGGTGGAAAATTGTCTAAATACTCCACCATTGAAAAGGGTGGCATTTTAGTGGCAAATCTAGGGACGGGCGGTCTCGCAACAACAATGTTATCTTAGTTGTTAAAGTTGTTTTTTTTGGTTGTTACATGTACATATATGTTACTTTACTTCGCTGCAACTGCGTTTCTAAAGTTTTGTTTCACGAGTTTATCTGAATTAATTTATGTTAATGTTTTGAGTCACAGTTTTGCTAGTTATTGCAATAAATTTAGAAGAAAGAAACTATTGTTTTGGTTTTCAATAAAAAAATTTGATGGAAATCTGCTGCTGCTGTTACTGCTGCTACCGCCGCCACCAAACCGCCATTAACAAAACCACCGCAACCATTACCACCACCACCACAATCACCACCACCACCACTACTACTTTATTGTACTAGTTCTACTGCTAAAGGTAATACTGCTACTTTTACAACAAAACGACGTACGTACAATTGCTACTGGTGGTGGTGGTGATGATTATGATGATGATTATTATTATTATTATTATGATCTTGTTGGTGCTGGCGACGACGACGATGTTGATAATAATGATAAGACTATGTTATAGTACAGAAAATATTACCCCTATATATTACTTCAAGTGATTTTGTTTACATTTTACGAATGGTGCATCTTTTCTTACTTATGGTGCATATCAAAAATATTTTACATATGGTACCGAAAATACTGACATTTGGTGCAGGGCAAAACGGCAAAAAATTTCGTATTTGGTTCCGATTTTCTGACATATGGTGATTTTACAAATGGTGCCGTTTTACATATGGTGCCGTAACAAACAACCTTAACTAATCGGCCACGCCCTTTAATATCATCTGGTGCAAATGATGAAAGAGCATTGGTTAAATTTTATGAACTGAAATGAAATGTATATATTTAGAGCATGAGAAATCTAAGACTGAAAACTTCTATTACAGCAAATGCATGCATCTCTTAAATTACTTTAAAAACATTCTTACATTTCCAATTAAAATGATCTACACAACATCTATAATCAATATTCTTACATCTTTATATAATAATCTGACATCTTTTTTTAACATTCTTACATCTTTAATTACTTAAATAGATGTTCTTACATTTTAAATTGAAATTATTTTATCTTTGATTAATAATCTTTCATAAATATTCATACATATTCAAGTAATAATCCAGCATCTTTATTAATATTCAATTACAATTATTACACTTTCAATAAATATATTTACATTTTTACTTAATATTTTTACATCTTAAATTAAGATTTACTAAGTTAATTATGGTTTATATAAAATTACTTTAATATTCTTTCTTTCAATTAAAATGATTTTATCTTTAAACAATATTTTTATTTTTATATTCATATTCTAACACCCTTTAAGTAAACTAGTACTGGAATTTCAGAGGAGAGTGAATGTAAATTATAAACAAGATTGCATTTGTGAAAAATGCTATACCACAGCATTAATACAACACTAAATAGTAGTGTAAAAACATATATTTTTTTGTTTCTATACAACTGAAGATTGTCATAATGCATAGATCCCTGACCTAGCTAATTGTTATTATCAGATTAATGGTTATATCTATTATATTGTTATTCAAATAAAAGATCAGAGTAGGAATATATCAATGCAGTTGAGTCAAGTGAATTTGGTGGTGAAGGTCATATTTCACACAGCCTAAATTTCATGAATGTACATCAAGGACAACACAGTAAGACACTTTGTCAAAATCTAGGTCAGCTGATATCAAGGTTCACTTTACATCTTAATCTGTGCACATGGTTAAAATGCCATAGCTGTACATCAAAGGACATGAAAGTGGGTCACATCATTAAAATCTAGGTCACTTGATATCAAAGTTCAATTTTACAACTAAAACTGTGCATACGGTCAAAATTTCATTCCTATCAAAGGACAAGAAAGTAGGTCACTGACCACTTGGGAAAGGCAAACTTTTGATTCAAGGGTTTAATTCAAAGCAATCTTGATACAGGTCCACTAAACAACATTTCATGTCAAATATCTAAGCTGTAGCTTACTCCAATTCAGAAAACATTTGTTTTAGTTTTTTTTTTTCCTATGTGTAAATAATGAGAATCAATGCCCCCGGGCAGGGCCATTTTTGACACCAGGGGAAAAATTTGAACAACTTTGGTAGAGAACCTATAGATGACATCATACACCAAATATCAAAGCTTTAAGCCTTGTACCTTCTGACAAGAAGATTTAAAATTTTTAACTATATGAACATGGTAAAAATCAATGACCCCCGGGGCGGGGCCAAATTTGACCCAAGGGCTATAATTTCAACAATCTTGCTAGAGATTCACTTCACAATGCTTCATGCAAAATATCTAACCTCTAGCCTTTGTCAACTTAGAGAAGATGATTTTTTAAGTTTTTACTATATACATATAAGAAAAACCTATGACCCCAGGGCGGGGCTAATTTACACCAGGGGCAAAATTTGAACAACATTGGTAGAGTACCCATAGATTATATCATATACCAAATATCAAAGTTCTTATCCGTGTACCTTCAGACAAGAAGCTATTTTAAGTATTTACTATATGTACATATAGTGAAAATCAATGACCCCCGGGGCAGGGCCAATTTTGACCCCAGGGCTTTAATTTGAACAATCTTTGTAGAAGTCTACCAGACAATGCCTTATGCAAAATATATATGCTCTAGGTCTGTGGTTCCTTACAAGAAGATTTTTAAATTTATTCTTATAATTCCTTTTGGTTGCCATGGCAACCAGATTTCTGCATGGAATGAGATTCTTTGAACAATTTTGAAAGCCCTTCACCCAAAGACCAATCCTGCCAAGTTTGGTTGAAATTGGACAAGTGTTTTTTCACAAAGGGATTTTTTAGGTTTGCTATATAGTCTATATAACACACATACAAACACACACACAGTTGAATCGCTATATGCCACTGCATCGCAGATGCTGCGGGGGCATAAAAAGACCAGATTTACACAGAAGAATATATGGTCTGATATTAAAGACATTAGTGCACTAGCCTGATCCAAAATAAATCTTCAAAATGGCCTTCAAAGTTTATTTATACATGTACCTCAAAGAGATCAGCCCAACTTTTTTAATGTCAGTAGGGAAAAGTTTTCTGTGACTTTTACCTGCTCTTAAAATGAGAACACTTCATTATAGTATGTTCTAATTTCTTATAAGCTTGGGCCTAAATGAGATCTACAACCTCCCCTTCTTTGAGGTCATTAGGTCAATGTCGCAGTGACCTTATTTCAATGTGTCATCTTACAGTGGCATCTCTTGCAGGTACAAATCTTAATCTAACCTCAATAGAATGAATGTTCTGTTTAGTGCTCTACTGTTTGAAAATGTTCATGATTTTTTGTTGACAAATTAAAGAAGCACATAAACAGTTATAGTACTGTAAGTTTGTAACGCCGCTTTTCATTGCATAATTGGGATGTTTTTGTAAATTAAATACATTAAATATACATATAAATTATATATGTAATCTTTAACAAAGTTTGCTGTATTATTAATTCATTATAACGATTCTTCTCCAAAGGTTATATACAGTTGTTTTGTTAACAATATAAACCAGTCAAAAATCTTTATAACTAATAATTAAATTTGGACATACCATTTTCGTGAGTTCCTATATTCTAACAATATGACATATTTAAAACACCATAATATTTATTATACTTATTTGTTCATAAAAGTCATGCTCTTTAAACCGAAACTAATGTCTTAATTTACCATTTGCTACAGCCTGTAACATTTTCCTTCTTTTAATTACATCCATCACATCAATTATCTCTTCAACTGAAGGATTTCTTGTTCCTGTAACAATATAATAACAATAGCATCTTCATTCATGAATGTCACTTTTCAATTGAATAATTTTAGTGATTGCAAAAAGGTAAAACTTGCACATGCAACACTTAAATTTTAGTGACTGCCTAAAGGTAATGCTTGCACATACCACACTTTAATTTTGTTAATTGCAAAAGCTTATACTCGCACATAAAACACTTTAATTGTTGTGATTGCCAAAAGGTAATACTTGCACATACATTACCTTAGCATATTTGATTGCAACATTTCATGAAACAGTCAGACTAAATGTTCCAGACATCAGTGACAACAAATAATACCTACTGCCTTCATTGAATGCCTTGTACAGTGATAAAACAATCTATAATATTTGGATTTAACCTGTACCTGTTTTAACATTAAAATTCTAAGGGATGTCATCCTTAAAGGAACTCCACTGAGGTCTAAAAGCCTAAAATCATAAAATTTGAATTTCTTACATAGATCAACTGGGGCATTTAAAGCATTTAAAGCAGAAAGATGTGCAAACGCTAATTTAGAAATTTACTTTGAAATAAATTAAAAATCCAATTTTTGTGCTATTCTTTACCAGATTTTGTTGAAAAAATCTAATTTACAATTGGAATAATCATTCTGGAAAAACATAGTAATTAATCTGAAATTTTGCACACAACTACTTGGTCAAGAATTACATCAAATAGTACTCTAATCTTGGAAAATTAACACCACTCCCGTCATGTTGAAAAAATGCAGTTGAGACCCTTAAATGAGAGGTGTCCTCCAACAGTGTAATGCCAGGCAAGTCTGAATGTCCCTGTTCTGAGACCAGATATTGCAGTGCAGGGTTTTCATTCAAAAATAGGTTGTTTAAATGAAGATAAGGTATTTTATCAAAGAAGACAAGTATAGTAGTATCAGCAAGAAATACACAAAAGTAGCTGGTTATTAAGATCGCAGCACAACTTGATTGATTGTTATGAATGCTTTAACAAATCAATTTTAATGTGATTAAAATATGCTAATTGAATGTGCTTTTCTGCTGAAATATTTTCTTTTTATTTATACATTAAGATATTTACCACACAGCATAATGCAGTTTGCGCTCTCATAGCCATTTTATTAACCAAAAATTCATCTGTTGGGGATTTTATCCTAGGTAGTAATTTTATGAAGGGGATCTTGACCACTTCAAAATTTCACACATGAAGGGGATAATATGTCCACCCGTGGGGGGATTATGTTCAGATATACAAAAATACATGAAGGGGATTTTGTCTAAAGGGGATTATGTCCGTACACCGGTTATTACTGGTGTATATCTTGTTACACTAGATTTTTCGGTAAATTACTCAGCTACCAGGTGGGTATAGAGACCAGTGAGACTTTATTACAGTAAGCTAAAGAATGTTAACATTGTAATCCCTTAAACTAACGATAGGAACATCCAAATGTTAAGTATGTAAAGCTGGTTTAAAATACTAAATTAAGATATTATGGTAAAATATGCAAAAGGGACGTTTGTGTATACAGTACAACCTCTACAGCACAACAACCTTTGGGATAAAAAATGGGTTGTTGTTGATTGTGAGTTGTTTTTCCAGAGAGGTTAAATATATTGTTAAGTCTCACTCTTAAAAGAACTGAAACTGTTGTAAAGAAGTAATTGCTCTACAGAGGTAATTGGTATACAAAGGGTAGTTCTGCGGTTGTACTACTAACAAAAAAAACAGATTCCTTTTAAAAATAGTTACCTTTCTCTCTTAATTCATTAATAGCTTCATTGATTTCCTTTGCCAGGAATCCCATTTCTTTACAAACAGCTTTACGTCCATCCATTGCATCTTGCAATTCAGGATCTCTTTGTTTCAATTCCTCTAGACCAAGCGACATACCATTTTCAGTAAAGGTTTCCAGCTAGATTTTAATACAATCATTAGTACATATCAAATATTTCCTGAAGACAATCAATTATGTATAAACAAGAGGGCCTATAAAATATTATGATAATAAATATGTTAAAATCAGCATAAAAAAACAACAGAAAAATGGGTCAAAGACAGAAAAGCCGGGTTGTATATGTATATAAAATATCATGAGGCTGTGATGTTACTTAAATTTTCTACCACTGTCTGACAATTGATGTTGAAAATTTAACTAAGTTGGTAAACAGGCAGTGGATGAGCATCAGACCTGAAATGGAATCCCACAATATGGGACCACATGCCAATGCTGTGAACCACATATCAAGAGGCTGTGGTAAGTAGTTGCTGCGTAAACTGCTTCGAAAATTTCCAACCATTGACCATTAACCTTTTACCCCATAAGCATATTGCGAAAAATGGCCGTTTTCATTGGAAAGCCTCCTGTAACAAGTTCAAACTGCTATGAAACTGTGAAAAATGCTTCAATACTAATGAAACTTGACAAATGTTGACTGCACCATAGCCTCTGTAACAGCATGCTCAATGGTAAATTTTCTGTTACCATGGCAACGGGGGGACGTCTCAAAATTGCCAAAAATCACTATTTTGCATTGTTTTTTTCCATCAAAACTGATTTCAAAGTGCTGCAACTTCTCAATGAATTGAGATAGAGTAAAAGGCTTTTCAGCGTCGGTTACTTATTACCCTTAGATCGACCTGAGGCCATTTTTAGCCTGTCACATGTCCAAAATTTTCTTGGAGATGAGGGGGACTCCGCCCCCCTTCAAACCCCCCAAACAGAAGGGGGCACATCCTCGTTCTGGCAACCCCCTGATGTAATATTTGGATGGGGGACGGCGCCGATAAGTGGTCACTTTTATTAACAACATTTCTCAAATGAAAAACAGTGTTTGGGGCCTAAAAAGGGCATTTTTGCACTGTTTGAGGCCTAAAAAAAAGGGGGCGGGGGCAAAAAGCCGTCGAAACACGCTTATATAAGGGAAAAGGTTAACAAAAAATTATGAAAAACCTTGGAATTACACAAAAACTAGATTTTCCATGTTAACACATGCCCTAACACTGAAATTTGGTGAAAAATTGTTGTTTTTTGACATTTTTTATTTCTTTTATTAACCTTTTACCCCATAAGCATATTGCGAAAAATGGCCGTTTTCATTGGAAAGCCTCCTGTAACAAGTTCAAACTGCTATGAAACTGTGAAAAATGCTTCAATACTAAATGAAACTTGGCACAAATGTTGACTGCACCATAGCCTCTGTAACAGCATGCTCAATGGTAAATTTTCTGTTACCATGGCAACGGGGGGACGTCTCAAAATTGCCAAAAATCACTATTTTGCATTGTTTTTTTTTCCATCAAAACTGATTTCAAAGTGCTGCAACTTCTCAATGAATTGAGATAGAGTAAAAGGCTTTTCAGTGTCAGTTACTTATTACCCTAAGATCGACCTGAGGCCATTTTTAGCCTGTCACATGTCCAAAATTTTCTTGCAGATGAGGGGGACTCCGCCCCCTTCAAACCCCCCAAACAGAAGGGGGCACATCCTCCTTCTGGCAACCCCCTGATGTAATATTTGGATGGGGGACAGCGCCGAAAAAGTGGTCACTTTTTTTAACAACATTTCTCAAAATGAAAAACAATTTTTTGAGGCCTCAAAAAAAGGGGGGGGGGGGGGGGGGCAAAAAGCCGTTGAAACACGCTTATATAAGGGAAAAGGTTAATGTCGAAAATTTAACTAAGTCAGCAAATAGGAAGTGGATGAGCGACAGATCTGAAATCAAAACCCACAGCATGGGACCATGTGTTAAGGCTGTATACCAAATATCAAAAGGCTGTGAGAAGTAGTTGCTGAGAAAACTGTTACGAAAATTTCCTACTATTGAGCATTAATGTTGAAAATTTAACTAGGTCGGCAAACAGAAAGTGGATGAGCGACAGAACTGAAATTGAATCCCACGGTATGGGACCATGTGTTAATGCTGTATACCAAATATCAAAAGGTTGTGATTAGTAGTTACTGAGAAAATTGTTACGAAAATTTCCTACCACTGACCATTAATGTAGAAATTTTAACTAAGTAGGCAAACAGGAAGTGGATGAGCGACAGACCTATAATCAAATCCCACAGTATGGGACCATGTGTTAATGCTGTATACCAAATATCAAAAGGCTGTGATAATTAGTTGCTGAGAAAACTGTTTCGAAATTTCCTACCATTGACCATTAATGTTGAAAATTTAACTAAGTCAGCAAACAGAAAGTGGATAAGCGACAGACCTGAAATCGAATCCCACAGTATGGGACCATATGTTAATGCAGTATACCAAATATCAAAAGACTATGATAAGTAGTTGCTGAGAAAACTGTTACGAAAATTTCCTACCATTGACCATTAATGTAAAAAAAAATAACTAAGTCGGCAAACAGGAAGTGGATGAGCGACAGACCGGAAATCGAATCCCACAGTATGGGACCACATGTTAATGCTGTATGCCAAATATCATGAGGCTGTGATAAGTAGTTGCGGAGAAAACTGTTACAAAAGTTTTTCCCCCGCCCACCGCCCATTTTCATTCACCATACTTTAACCCGGGTTTGCACCAGCCAAAAACCAACAAAAAATACAATGTATTCCAATGAATATTCAGATTTATTGAAAGTTTATATTTTTAGGGGCCCTGGGATGAAAAGTGTCAAGTACTGATCAACTACTAATCCCACATGATTTCGGAATCAGCGGTGAGAGACAAATAACATTTACAATCAATGTGTGGGATTAATTTTCACAGAGAAAATTTTGCAACACCTGAGGATCAATCAAGCCTCCCATAGATTATTTCCATTTTCTCCATTATAAGCTTTGCTGGAGGATAGATACAATGTTATCAAGGTTTATCACTTTACTCAGACAACAGAGTAAAATATTTAAAGCAACAAATCGTACAGACTTTTGTTAAGTTACTAATTTATTTTAGTTTAATTGCGTTGGAAGCTATATGCTTATTGAAACACTCTTGAATCCATTCCTGGAACCAACCAATACTAATCAATAAGAGTAGTTTCTTATTCACAGAAACAACGCCTTGCCTCTGACAGTTTGAACACATGCAGCAAGCAATTCCTAGCCAGACGCGTTAACTACTCCGCCACACCAGTCCTTTCTCTGACAATATCCAGGATTTATACAGTTTTCATGAATGCCTACTAAATAACAAATATGTAAGTTTCAGAACAGATGATAATTATAACATGCTTTTCTTCTTTATATACTAATTCTTTATAAATACAGTAAACTCCGCTTATAACGAACTCATTGGGACATTCAAAATCTGTTCCTTATAACCGGAGTTCCTTGTAAGCATATAGCGAATTAGTTCCTTGTATCAGGAGTTTTTATAGCGAACAGATTTACATATAACGAACTGATTGTTTATCATGGTCTGTTTATCATTGTCCTCCATTTTGAAAATCATTTGATTCAAAAAGAAAAGTTAGTCATTTATTCTTTTTTAGACCCGAGAGCATACTTTTTGGAATTTGAAAACCCTTTGCTATTTCAGTTTTAGCTTTACTCTCTTTCTCAATTTCTCATTAAATATCATATTATCTTTCTAAACTCAGTGCTTTTTGTTTTCTTTCCATAATTAAGAATTAACAAGATTTTTCCTTCCTTTTATATTGGAAATCTTCTATTATATTTTAAGAGTGACTAGATATAGATTTCTTTTCCTTTCAATCAAGAGTACTTTGTAGTTTTCAATGGATTAGCAAGCATATGTGGTTATGTTGATAACCGATTATTAATGATTAAAATTATTTTACTCGAGAAAAACTATTAAAGAAAAGAAATAATAGAATAAAAGGAATAACCGTTTTATCTTAGTGCTAAATATATCTTAACAAGAGGGCCATAATGGCCCTGAAGTCGCTCACCTGTATATAGGACCCCGGAGCGGGGCCAGTTTAAATCCCAGGGCTTTTATTTGAACAAACTTGGTAGACACCCATTAGAAGATGGTTCATACTAAACATCTAAGGTCTAGCTTGTTGGGTTTTTTAAAAGAAGATTTTTTAAGATTTTTCTATACACATATATTTAAAAACAATGACACCCCTGGGTGATAAAGGCCCTGAAGTCGCTCACCTGTATATAGGACCCCGGAGCGGGGCCAGTTTAAATCCCAGGGCTTTTATTTGAACAATCTTTGTAGACACTTACTAGAAGATGTTTCATGCTTAATATCTAAACTCTAGCTATTTGGGTTTCCTCGAAGAAGATTTTTAAGTTTTTGCTATACACATATAAGGAAAATCAATGACCCCCGGGGGGCGGGCCAATTTTGACCCTAGGGCTTTTATTTGAACAAACTTTGTAGATACTCACTAGAAGATGTTTCATGCTTAATATCTAAACTCCAGCTAATTGGGTTTTTTCAAAGAAGATTTTTTTAGTTTTTGCTATACACATATAATAAGGAAAATCTATGACCCCCGGGGTGGGGCCAATTTTGACCCTAGGGCTTTTATTTGAACAAACTTGGTAGACGACCATTAGAAAATGTTTCATGCTAAATATCTTAGCTCTAGCTCTTTGAGTTCTTTAAAAGAAGATTTTTTAAGTTTATACTATATGCATATAGGGAAAATCAATGACCCCCTGGGGCGGAGCCAATTTTGACCCTAGGGCTTTTATTTGAACAAGCTTGGTAGACACTTATTAGAAGATGTTTCATGCCAAATATCTAAGCTCTAGCTCTTAGGGTTTTTTAAAAGAAGATTTTTAAGTTTTTCCTATTGGTTGCCATGGCAACCAGAGTTTTTAATGGAATTTAAATTTTTGAACAACTTTGAAAGGGGTCCACCTAAGAATTATTTCTGTAAAGTTTGGTTGCAATTGGCCATGTGGTTTAGGAGGAGATGTTTTTTGAAAAGTTTGACGCCATTTTTTGAAGGACGCACGACGCACTACGC